AAAACACCCAGGCTTCACACGTCATGCTGCTCCAAGAGCCTTTTGCATACGTGCATCTGGCATCTCTTTGCACACTCCACTGAGCAGACGCAGCGCGGGCTGCTTCGGAGGCCGGGCTCCTGTTCCTAAAGCACGTTCTCTCTGTCACAGAGACGGTGAACAAATCGTTGGGCAGCCTTACCGGAACGGTTCTTCCCATCCTTCGCGTGGACATCAGCACCGAGGGACAGCAGCGTCTGGATGGTGCCCGTGTGTCCTTCCTGGAGCAGTGAGAACAGGGTTATTTAGTCAAAACCAGCTCCACACAATTTCTCCCCTTTGCATTTAGCAGAAGTAACACAGGCCTGAAAAGAAAGGAGGCCGCAAGCAATCTGTCCCTGACTGCATACAACACCTGGAAGGGCACAAATATGAATTCACTCTTTCACTGTCAAATCTGGGGTTACCAGGAGCTGCTTCAGGCTCCAGAGGACCTTATAGGGGCTAGAAATAAGGGTTGGCTGCCTGTGGCAGTGAAGATCGGGTCTGTTAGCCCACATGAATTGGCGAGAGAGATGCACTAGGCACTTTCTCCAGCCTGTGAGAGGAGTTGGATCTTGGCCCTGGGTCAGTGTGTCTGCACGCCTTACATGTCCCTGGCAACAATTTCGACCCAGAGGCTGAAAAAGCAGCAGGAGGCATCCCAGGAACATAATTCTCTCTGCGAACATTTAACGTAATGGTTTAAAATCCAAAGCGTTCAATTAGGACCAATAGTGCTTAAAATCAGGCAACAGTTCAGAGCTGGTTCCAGTGGTGGTGGTACAAAAGACAGAGCTGTGCCTCAGCAGGGAAAGTGTGATAAGATAACCCATTCCAGATCCAGGCAGGTGGAGCTGCTTTTTGACAGCTGTAGATCCCACAGGATCTTCCTAATCATGGTCAACAGATCCTTGCCCAGCCAGGACCTTGAGGCGTGAGGAATTTGGAAGATCAGCTCCCAGGGGCGGCTTTGCCTTTGCCAGAGGCTGTGGAGGAGTTAATACACAAACTACCTCTGGCAACTGGGTGACACAACCTAAAGATGTTTCTTAATAGCAAATTAGTGTACTAATTTGTCAACCAGTCTTGCCTTTGCCTCTCCAGTCCTCACCTTCAATCAAGTAACTCAGTTAAATTGCTTTTAACCTCAGCTGGCCAAGAGCTGTAGGATCCCTGACTTACCTTTCGTAATTGGCAGCTGGCTGTTTGTTAAAAGGACTAAATGTCAGCAAAACACTGTGTGTTTTCCCACTCCAAGTACCACAGGGATCTAGAACTGCTCTTCCCGAGGTGTAGTTCAGCTCCAAGAGCAGAACCTGTTGCTGATGGGGACTATCACACATCTGCCTGCAGCGTTTCCTAAAGGATCGCTCCCAGTATTTGTACCGCCCTGTGAGAAGACACAGACCATGCTTCCACATCGTCACGACCCACAGCAGCCTCTATCTTTCCTCGGCTGGTAGGCAATTTAAAACACCATAGGGGAAAATGCAATACAGCCCCCACACCCCTTCTCTCGGCACAAGCTTCTCTGTAAATAAATCCTCTCTCCCTAAATAACACGCCTGATTTCGTAATTACTTCTTCAGCGCAATGAATTAGTCTTTGTCGTGCTGCATGAGAATGGAAAGCTCTTATTTTTATCCCCACCACCCACACTTTTCCCCCCATTATCGTACGACTCGGTAGCATCTTCCCCCCTGCTCAAGACTCCCATTTCCCTGCTGCATGAACACCCCTCTCAGTGGCAAAGACAGCAAGCCAGGAGCTGCTTTAGCTGCCACAGCCTTGGCAGCAAATTGAGTTGAAAGCGTAATTTGATTTTCATGTATTTATAAATGCAAAGTAATAAGAAAAGAAGAAAAAAAACAACCCACCAGCCAAACAAATGATGCTGTAAATATAAAGTGACACTGAGCCTCGGGAAGGAAGAGAAACCCATCAAATCATTCCCCAATCAGCCGCTCGCCAAGACAGAGCTGGGATCTTCTCCAAGGCACATTATATTCCCCAATAGCCTTGCTGTTAAACGTACCCTTGGCAACCAAAAGGGCTTTCAACATGGTTTCTCAGAGCATGAGGAAGGGAAGCTGGGAGAAAAGCCTCCTTTGTGGGAGCCAGCAAATGCCACGGCTGGGTCCTGCTGGAGGAGAATACTGTTGCCAGCACTCCCAGTAAGTGTCATTGATGCTTTTGTAGGGAGCGGGGCACTGGGATGCTGTTTCATTCCCACTACAAGTCTAGACTGGGCTCTGAGCGCTGCATGTTAAAGCTCACAAGGTTTAACAAACAGGGATCTAAGCAGGGACCTTCTCTTGCCACCGGCTGTCAGCACGCTGCACACTGTGGTGCGCCAGCAACAAGCAGAAGGGAGGCAGCAGGACGGATCCTGGTCAGCCATGAGGCTTTTGGGATCTGCTCTGTGCTCGCAGGGAGCATTGCAGGACCCACAGCCCACCCACACAGGCATGAGATGGGAGGAGGAGAAAGCTCAAATGACTCTCGCTGCCTGGAATTCAAAACAGCTCCTGTGTGAAGGACATAGATAAGCACCCAGGAGCTTCCTCCACCTTCCCACCTCTCCTCTCTCATGTCTGGCCACGGGCAGGTCAGAATCCAGCCTACTGGGATAAACAGTTGCTGTTTCACAGCACATCAGCCATCCTCTGTCCAGCAAGCTGCCAACATGGAGACTGGCTACTGACCCGCTGGGACCCAAGCTACCAGGGCTGAAGAAAGACAGAGGAAGAAATCTGAGCAGGATTTCATCAATTTCTCCTCTGCCCAGCGAGGGAGAAGATGCTGGTGAAGAACTGTCACAGCTCATGAACAGTTGGTACCAACGACTCCCAGTAATTAGCAGGATGGGCTCCCTTCAGGTACTGCACTTTGGTCCAAAAGCAGTGGGCTGGAACAGTATTGCTCACCAGAGGTGTGGGTCAAGCCCTGTCCACAGCACAGCCAAGTGGACATGTGGCAAAGGAGCTGGGCCCTATCGCCACCTGCCTCTGCTCCTGCATGATCCCACTCAGCCACACGCCAGACAGGAGGGTTTACTAGGCCACAGCACAGTCAGCGGCGTGGGCAGGAGGGTGGTGAACAGAGCAACACGGATACTCTCCACCATCTGCAGAGAGCTGGACACACCTAATGAGGGCCTAAAAACCAATAAACAGGGTATGGGACTGGCCAGGAGCAGACAGTGACAGGATGAGCTGGGAATGTAAATCCTCCATTGAAAACAGCCTGTTTTAGATGTCAGCCTGCAGCACACCAACTGGCAAAGACTTTGTAGAGAGGAAGCCTGGGCACAGGAACAAACCTTGGCTGCATAGTGCAGTGCTGTGAGTTGTAGGGCCGTCACTCTCTCGTTGACACTGACACCCAGCTCGGAGACGAGGAACTGGATGGATTCATCCTGGGCTGTAACAGCTGCCCGGTGCAGAGATTGAGCACCCAGAGCGTCCACGGCTAAAGGACAGGCCTGGAATGGGGGAGGAGGGAAAGCAATGAACAGCCTGGCCAAACCTTCACGGATAATCACCAGTCCAAGCAGGATGATGTCTGCTTGCCACAGCCATGGTGATGGCAGTGATGTCACCAGCAGGACCGATGCAGTTGGTAGCACCGTGATTCACAGTCCAGAGCCAGCTCTCTGCTGAGTTTTTTAAGTGATAAGCAAAACTAGTACCAAAAAAGAACCACCAAGCCCTCTGTCTCTTCAGCTGAAGCACATATGATGGGTTTCAACTCTTCAAAGCAGCAAGAAAAACCCATCTCCAACCTCTGTGCTAGTGGAGAACAACTTGGATGAAGGTGGGGGGGGGTGAGATGGGTGGATGACCTCATGAGATCTCTTCTGTGAGTCTGAATGAACCACAAAGATATAAAATCAAGAAGGGTAATGGAAGTAATACACAATGTGCTCATCTTAAAGGATATAATCCAGCCTCTTGAAATCTAGTGGGCCTGACTCATGGTTTTAAAAAACCTAGAAGGTAGCAACAATGCCATTAGCATTTCCAGTGCTGCTTCGTGGCAATAAGCCAAAGCACCACAACAAGGAAATTAAATCAACTATTCCATCTTCATTGCCTCAAATGTGAGACTACAAACGTAAGCAAACTTCACAACTATTTTATCCTGTAAGGGCCAGATGAGCAAGGCCAAGCACACGAACATCTCCTGAAGTCAACAAGTATCTATGTACGCAAACGCAACCTGGGCATCAAACCATCTCTGCTGGCTGAGGCTACTGAGTAAATCCAAAGTTTGTGATCTGGAAAAGCATGGTACCACGTTCCCTGGCCCACTCCGTGCCACGCTGGGGGTTCAGCTGGCCAACTCAACCTGCCAGCGTGGCACAAACCCATTCACTGGGTTTTCCCACGTGAGCTTTCTGCTCACGTGAGCACTTTGGCATGCTGACCAATGAACACCGGAGCTGGCAGAGGGGAGCAGCAAAACGAGGGCAAAATAAGTGAGAAGGGAGACACAACCCCACTTCCCTGAGAATCAGCCATCAGGTGGGCTCCAACCACCTCACATCAATTCAGCAGTCAATAAATAATGCAGTGGTCTGGTTCCTGCTACGCACAATTGGCTCTAATGACACTCCTGTTACACCCTGTATGTTGGGAGGAAATTGGAGATTACTGGGAGATAACACGGAAGCAGCAGCTGCCGAGAGAGGGAGGGCAGAGATGAGCTGCTGCCAGTGCAGCCAGATGCCTCCATGTCACCCACCCTCCATGCTGAGCCCTGGCACTCCCTAGTGCTGGTCCTGGCTTTGGCACAGCTGCCCCTGTCCCCTCCTGCCACTGCTTTGTGTCCCCATCCCCCTTCACCAACTACAGGGATGTATCCCCACCCTGGGGGTAAGATCTTCACCAGGAGCCCCGTCCTGGTGGCCTTACCTGGCAAAACCTTGCTCATCCCCAGGGGGAATTTGCTTTCTTCTGCAATTCACTTCTTTACAATTTGGGAATGTGCTTCTTTACCACATGGTTACGGAGAACACGTGGCTTGCCTGCCCTGGTAGTTCTCAGTCAGGTCCTGGAGGAGGGAGGTGAGGTTTTTGGCACCTACCTGGTGTTTCTCCAGAAGCAGCCGGGCGATGTTGACATGCCCGTTCTGGATAGCATCCATAAAGGGAGTGACTCCACATTTATCTCTGCTGTCGGGCTTGTACTGGCACCTAGAAGAGAAGACAAAAGCCAGCACAGAGTTGTTGGTGGCTCTGAAAATCCTTATGGCACTAGCTGCTTTGCACTGGTAGGGCAGGAAACTATCACGGGATCGGAAATGGCACATATAAAGCCTGTTCACAGACCACACATAAACCTCTCTGGGAGTGTTCTGGCCTGGGGTACGGTCTGCAGGGGGGTTTGGGGTCAGAGATCTGGTACTTAGCTGTGCAGCTCGCTCATTTATATTTCTTTCCCTTGTAGCCCAACCAGAGGATCTCTGGAAGGGGTAAGATGTGCACAGGCCTTGCTCTGGCAGAGGGGAAAACCACATCCTCATGTAACAACACCATGTACAGAATCAAAGCCCACAGGTCTCCCCCAGGTTAAAGCTCCCCTGAAATGGAGAAGACCGAATTAAAATTGAAAGCCTGGCTCAAATCTCAGGGCTCTGTTTATGCTAGGCCAAGCATGGACAGGAATTAACAGGGCTGGGATGAATCGGCTAACAGGAGCTGCGGCTAGCAGCGGCTGTGATGCCCAGGGAAAGGTGCTCCAGTCCTGGTTAGGAAGGTAACAGGGTCGGATGACTGGGCACACACTCATTTAAAGCCACTTCACAGCCATCTCCCAGGAGCCAAAGCCTGAAAATAAAGCCTGGAGGCTAAGTCCAGCCTAGAGGAGCTGCACCCAAGCTGTCAGAAAACTGTTTTGTTGTTAACGTAGGCCTCGGACACATCGGGGAATGAATCAGCACAGAAAAAGAACAGAGTTATATAACTGGGGTTTATGTCATAGCAAAGTCGGAGCCCATCCAGAGAGTGTCCTTGTCTCCAAGGCCCCCAAACCAGCTGTAAAAAAACCCGGAGGAAACCGAGACAGCCTCGGGATCGCATGCAGGGCAGCTGTGCAACCCGGCTTCCCGAGTGGCATAAACACCCTTTTGTGTCCGGGCAGTGAACGGGAGGCGGGGGAGAGCGTGGAGGAAGCCTGCTTACAGCTCCAGGAGCAGCTCCACAGCGTCAAAACAGCCGTGCATTGCTACGAGAGAGAGAGAAAACCCACGGTTAATTCATGTTTTCATGCCATCATCCGCCTACAGTGAAACAGAATCAGGTTTCTGACCCTTTTGGCTTATTCATGAGGAGGGAAGGGGTTCCAAGAGGCTTTAAATTCAAAGCTTTTTATTTTTTTGCACCGTATGCCTCTACCTGCAGACTACGTGCCTGAGAGTGTACATGCAATTAAGCTGACACAAAGATCTTTTCTTGCAAGTATTTGTTAGTCCCTGAAGTGAAATCTGTGAGAAGCAAAAGCAACACAAAGCCGGGAGCTGGTGAATAGCTAGATGGCATTTCCACCCCTCTTCAGCCACTCGAACTACCCATCACTCCCATCTCATCATCCTAATGAAGCATCCTCACCCAGACAAGCATCTCAGAGGAAAAACAACAGTGGGGGAGGATCTGAGCATTGTGCACTGAAATATTCTCTCTTTATTTTTTTAAAACACATCGTATTACAGCAACGTAAGGATAGCCTTGACCTGTCTTTGGTTTTTTTGCAGGTCATTTTGCACAACAAATTAAATACGTCAAAGAAAAAATAAATATCAAACAAAGCCCGGAGCTGCTACACCAGGCTATTTACTCTGTGCAATGGAAGAACAACCCCTGACAAATGTGTGTTACCAGCAATAACCTTCAGACGCAGCTGCACAATAGATGCTCTTTAAAAGCCCAACGAGGGGTTCCCATCCTCCCAGATCTTGGCCGTTTGCTTCTGCTCGCTGCCCGTTTATCACCCCTTCACCTGACCTGATGTAAATACAGGCAGAGTCACACTGTGGAAAGGATTTTTGAAATGGAGACTTTAAAAAAAAAAACAACAAACAAACCCCAAAACCAAGCTATGCTAAGAAAAAACACCCCAAGCAACACGATTACATCCTTTAACAGCAACAGAGACACAAGAAAGCTGCAGTGCTCAGATCCACTGTTGCACTCCACTTCCTCTAATTACATCTCCCCCGCTCTCTTGCCTCAGGCTACGGATATATGAAGCAGCAAAGCTTAAGGAATCAACCCGAAAAAAAAAAATTGCACGAGGGAGAAAATTACCCATCATCTCTCCAGGGATAAGTGTGCCAGGAAGGCAGCTGGACCGGTCACGGGTTAATGTGCTCATATCCACACCCCTGGGATGTAAACTCATTGAGACAGCGGTTCATCTGGACATGATTTCCCTCTGCAGCTCCAGCATCATCTCCGGCCTCTCGCCCCTGCTCAGGAGCCTCAGGAGCTGTGTCTAAGTGGGCTACGTGGTGGCGTGCGTGGGGTGCTGGCACCAGCACCCACCCAGCAGCAGCTGCCAGCATCGTCCTGGCTTAAAATGATGCTGGGTTTAAGCAGCTCCAGCCCTTCCCGCTGCCCAGCCGCTCCCACACCAGCTGCTGCTCTGCTCACGTGTGGTCCCAGGGTCTAACCCGGATCAGTAAAATGACCAGAAATCAACCCAAATCATGGGTTGATGGCTTTGCCACGGCAAAAGTCAAACACAGGAGAAGACACAAAGGTGGAAACACCTCTATGAAGCAGTGAGAACTGGGCACTGGATCCCACCATTGCTATCTGTACCCCCATATCCCAAGCTTTCCAAGGCCAGGAGAAGACTTTAAGCTCAAGTTTAAAAGCACTCCTTTTCCTCATGACAGTCCTCATTCCCAGGTCAAATACAAGGACTAAGGCGCAGTCAATGCCCCTGGGCTGGGATTGTCACTGCTGATGAGCACAGAGAGGTGGACCAGCAGCTGCTGAGGGCTGGAGAATTAACAGGAATGACAGCCAAGGAGCAACACACCCAACAGATTAATTACAGCACAGCAAGGGGTCTCCTCACAGTACCTCGGGTCTTTCCGGAGAGTCAAACCCTCTTAAATTATTTCACAGAATTATCTCAGTTGGAACATACCTTGAAACTCCTCCAGCCCAAGCATGACCCTCACCCTGACCATTCCCAACTCCCCCAGATCCCTCAGCGCTGGCTCAGCCCGACTCTTCAACCCTTCCAGGGATCCCGGGGACTCCCCCCCTGCCCTGGGCAGCCCATTCCAACGCCCAACAGCCCCTTCTGCACAGAAATCCTTCCTCAGAGCCAGCCTGACCCTGCCCTGGGCAGCTTGAGGCCATTCCCTCGGGGCCTGGCGCTGGGGCCTTGGCTCCAGAGACTCATCCCCCCTCTCTGCCCCCTCCTGGCAGGGAGTTGCCGAGGGCCAGGAGGTCTCCCCTCAGCCTCCTCTGCTCCAGACTGAACCCCCCCAGTTCCCCCAGCCGCTCCCCAGCAGACCTGTGCTCCAGACCCTGCCCCAGCTCCGTTGCCCTTCTCTGGCCACGCTCGAGTCATTCAATGGCCTTTTTGGGGTGAGGGGCCCA